CAGTTATACTGTTTAAAGGGTTATTTGAAATATTAAGAGTAAAGCTGCAACTGCTACCGGAAGATGAATGGCATAAGAGTAGGTTGGAATATAGACAGACTTTGTTTATAGATAATTTTTTTCTTTGCCAATAATAACATAACTGCCATCTATTAGAGACAAAACAAAAATTTAGAACCATCGCCGAGTGCGTTGACGGTAAGCGGTTTCCCTTACCGTATACTGTTAGACATTCTCGATGAGCATACAGTATTTATTAATCTATGGAAACATCTGTATACATGGGGTGATCATGTCTGAACATAATACTTTACGTTTGACATGAAAAAGATATTTAAAAGCGTATCCGATTGGTTGTATGAAAAAGTAGATGGGGAGTAGCTATGGTAATTATGGGTCGTTAACTGTTGTGGTTATCACACTGAACGATTGATGCATGTATAAGTGGCAGAAATTTTAAAAGAGAACTGTAATTAGCATATACTGACACTAACGTACGTGTTGTTTATTAAACACAGATATATACTCTTCATTTCTGATGAGATTCAATGAACCTTTCCCCAATACCCTTTTCTGGATCCCAAACACGCTCGTTCCTAACGTACCAAATGTTATTCAATGCCGTAGCTATCCTTATATGCCATCGAAGCTGATATCCCTATGACATATATACACACGACGGAGTATGGACTTCTCCAAATAACTCTGTATGGAAAGTTGGTGAAATGTTTAATAGGACATGTCGTCTAATTTCGACGAATACCCAAATTTATACCCAACGAGTAAGTAATAATAGATTGGACAATTTATTTGTAGTGTCAAGTATTGACTTGTATAATCTGTTTCTAGATATGGTTATGATGACTCGAGGATGGAAGACCTTTTCTATTCTTGTCATCTTATCTATTGACATATATTTATCATTCAATCAGCCAAATGGAAGTCTATTACATCGTTGTTGACAGTAATTTTTGTGCAAATTAAACAAATCGATGAAGCGCTTATTGGATCAAGAAATATCTATTGTATTGTTCACAAGTTAATCGGTGACTAATGACGTTGACGGGCGTTTCGAGGATATTTAGGCTGGTGAGTTACAAGGAAATTTCAAATAACGGATAAATTCTATAATTACTTATTAACATACATGATTACGTTTACTTAGGAATGTCTTATCCTGAAGATTTTCCTTCTTCAAATGGCAGAGTTGGGATTCTATGGAAATAACTTAATCGAATTATTCAGTGAACCTAGATCGCCTTCCAATTCACAATACGATTTATCATTGAAGCAGCTCATATTTCGGGTTGAGATAAAATCTACAAAAGCCGCTAGTCTGAGAAGTGTATCCCAAATCTTGATGACCTAAAAACACTAATACAACACAAATGTATCGCTGGTGTTCAATATTACAATGATCAATATTACAATGATACCTCTATGCCAGTGACGCGTACTCACGTTGGAGGATACTGTAATGTCGCTCTTTTATTGTTGCGGACATCTAATTACTGATTCTTGCTTGTGGGGACCCGTGCGGATAAGGAAATGGAAGACCATTCCGATATTTGTATAAGTGTCTACTACTATATTTGGTAAGTAGAACTGAACGCTTACTACTTATTAATAATTTGTTGGTGACATATGCCGTTTCAGACGTTAACCATACCTCTCTGGTTACAATATCTAGCAGATCAATGAGCGTTTAATCGGGCATCCGGGGCATTCTACGCAATTTACGCGTGAATCGGACAACAAAGCGACATGGAGTCCGATAGCAAGTACGGCTGAGTCCGTCACAAAATTTATTTCGCTTCGAAATTGTTTTATGGGATTCGTATTTTGATGTACATAAACATATTTATTTTGTCGACTAGATTTTTTTTAAAAAAAGTAGAAATTATTCTTATTAAGATGCACTATTACTATGACACTAAATTAACGATCCCGGACATGCTAGCTTGGAGTATGTGGAATCAGAGACGTGTCGAAGTCATGATCAGAAAGTGTGGAAAGATTGGTCGGAAAGAGTACAATACATGGGAGAATCGCTTTAAAAGCATATACCCAGTGTTCATAGGAAATGTCTATATGACAACATTTTGAAAACGACATTTCAATGATATAATCAATGTCTGGTAAATAAAGCCTTACGCTTAACTCACAACATATTGCTCATTAGCGAGCAGAATTGTCTTCTGTCGATAAACGTTAACATCATCTTCATTTTCTCTTGCCATTCCCAATCTCCCGCTTGTCTTTAAGCTACCGAAGCTTCTCTTATTTAATACTGTAATCATTTTTCATATAGCCGAGTTATCGAATTCTACAAAGTCGATAAAATCGACTCTTCGCCCACCAACCTACAAGGTTCTCATCTCAATAGAAACTATATCTCCCGATAGATGAGACGTTTCTGGGAGTGTGGCCGCAGTGTAGTCGTATTTTGTGTCGGAAGAGTACTTTAATCAAAACTGTGATCTGGTTTCCACCGTTACAAACGGAAAGGCATAGTAATAATCACAACTGATGATGTTTCGTGTAAAGGTTTGGTGTAGTGTTGTATGCTAGTATTTCTTCTTTGGTGCAATAGGGTTGAATTGAGCCTTCGTCAAACTGCTTCATTAAATCGTCATCAAATATTACCATCGTATATCGACGCGTTGACTATGAATTTTGTTAGATTATACGAGTGTATGACATCGACCTGTTAGTGGATGTCGCTTGGTCCACGACTTCCTATATAGTTGTTTGCTCTTGTACGAACTCTTTCGTAGAGGTAGGTTATTTAGTGTAAGGGTTCGTTATTGTTATCATGGGGACTTGCTTATGAGTTGTATGTACATAATATGGAGATTTGCATTCTGTGCTCACTCAATTACCTAGAGGGAGTTGACGCATTCTGTAGTGATAGCCACTCATTATATAAAAAGTATGCCAGGACAATTTGGGTGGCTAATTATAATACTAATACTAATACTAAGCGGAATATCAATATATTATCCGACATTGTTACACGGCGAAATAGATATCTAGTGTTACAACGTATCGATATGTGAAACCACAAGTTGCAGGTTTTTCTTCCGTGTCTGAACAACAAACTGCTCACAATTCGAAAGATTTTTGACTACACAGAAACTTATCGAACACGCCTAAATACCAATTTAACTCAATATATACACACACACCATATTCCGTAATCTCGCTATCCACACCCATTAAAATGACTGGCAATTTTTCACAAAAAAAAGAAATAAAAGACATCAAAAGTCAATATGAAAACTTGCCTACGAGTCAAAAGAAGCGTGGATGTAGAAAGCAGCAAGATTTATACAGAAAGGATGTGCCTCCAACTAACGGCGTAATTCCAATGAGCTCGAATAATTTACGATTGACGAAAGATGTACCAACGAACGACGGACCAAATACTGTATTTTTGATGATGATAATAATAAGTGTACTTGTAAGACATCAGAAATTGACACTCCACACAATAAAAATGTAAAATATAGAAATAGGCACAATACAATTCGGACAGTTTGATCGTCTACTTGATTTTATCTTGTATAGTGATGGTTATACGGAATAAGATGAACGGCATGACCTGCTGAAATGATTGAGAAAGGAAACTTGTGTATTTTCATATCTTTCATAACGCACTTTATCAATATTGATTCATTCATTACTGTATTGGTTTTTTTTGTTTAGCATATTTGAACATTGGTTATATAGAGACGTTAGAATTATTAAATCAAATATATAAAAATGACAAATGTTCAACAAAGTGGTACGCTTTCCCTTTTTCAATTTACATACGCCTTCCCGTTGAACCAATCAAACTGGTACTCAACTTAAAAATACCGTTGACACTGTACCTATTGTATATTCGACATACAATACATAAAGAATTGCGCCGAGACGTGGGGAAAAAGTCTTACAAACGAGTAATACTAATATTATTGTTAAGCATGTTTATCAACATATGAATAACATATACAGTATATGTCTATATCATTATTAATAATCAATGTGGTATTAATAAACGCGTTAACTGATAATAATAAGCACATTCATCGCAATCGACTATCCACATAACATAAAGCATTAAAATTTACGTAATGTCTCAGAATCAGGCTCTATTATCTAATTAACTGTTGTCATATGATAATAGTGAAAGAATAAATTATTAAATAAAAACTTTAGATTATGGGCTTTATTTTGTTAAGCGTAGTTTTTGAGCAATAAATAAATAAAAAATTCCAAAAACTTTTGTTACACACTGTATATAGCAATAAAATGTAATATATTTTTGAACAAGTTAGCTAATCTTTTATAACAAGCCTCTCAACTGCCGTCATGTACCGTTTGTCACATGACACCCCCCAGGCCGGCTCCATATACTTGGTAAGTATCGGCCCTAGTCATCCAATCCAAAGATTACATGCGTGTTGCTGATTTTAGAAGGCGTTGTTTTTGCTGGTCTGTCTGTGTAGAAAAGTTTCTCGGCGCTGGTGCTCAAAATAGTTTGTAATGACAACTGAACCCCTCACTTGGAATTCATCGAACTCGCTATAAAACATCATGCACATATAAAGCAGTCCATGTCTTGCTAATTTCTTATTAATCGTACTTCCCTCTTTGTCTTTGAGCGGAATAACCCAGACGTAACGTGAGAATACATCAATCATTGTGAGAATGTAACTATAACCATCATTATGTTCGGCAAAAGAAAGAAGATCAACCAGGTCCATCTGGAGACGTTCTAATGATGATGGGTGTTATATCGTTTTATGGTATTCGAAATGAGAGGCACCGACATGGAATTTCTCTATATACTGTAACCAACTAGCGATGAGGATAAGCTTGCAGGTATCCTCAGTAGCACAACTTCGCCGTCAACCCCTTCCTTCGTTTCTGCATTTATTTAGCCCGAAATATTTTCTGATTGAGGTACTTGCCGACCTGCTAATTTAGCAAGTACCTTGAAAACAGTCTTGAAGAACTGCTTGACACGTGGTTCTTCGTTCTTCCTTAGGACACCTCGTTGTGGATAAAAACCTCGCAATTCTGTAATAGTTCTTCGAATACGTTTCGCTCGTGCAGCGGGCCAAGGTAGAGCCCTCTTCTGGGCAAAGACAGGTACATATGGATATATGTTAATACCTCTTCTGGGCAAAGACGATACGTATGGATAGAAAAGTGGTAGACGCATTAGACGTCCAAAGCCATAAGAGAGAGTTTTATTTGGGGTTTCTCAGGGGTAAGTTAGAAATAGTAAACAGCACAACCGTTTATAATACTATTACATGTGACTGTACTGCGAACATAAGTCATTGATGACATCATGATTTAATGTTCATTAACCATATCATTAATCATGTCAGAACCTTTTATAACAAGTTCGGTCATTCTTATAATTTGTTTCTTAATATCAACGCGAACAGCTACAATGCAAAGTTCTGGTTTGAATACCGAGTAAATACTTAGGCCGGCCAGCGATTATGATATATGCTAGGTGTTAGAATGTGCAGAAATCCCGAATAATGAAAAATAAGTTAGTGGCGCCCGGCAAAACTGCTAATTTAGATAATTGGATTAGTATTAGTATATCGGGGTTGGGCTTCTTAGGCTGGTATCGGCTTGGAAAGAATAAGGATGTACTGACTCTGCAAGATGATTACAACATCGAATGGAAGTTTGATAGGAGTGTCAGACCATCAAGAGGAAGAACCAAAGATAGATATTGTCGGATATATAGAAATTGGTGGTGCATGCTGGTTCTACTGGTATGATGCTTATCTAACAGAATGGCCGGTGAAGATATGGGGAGGGAATGCTAGATTCTCTAACCGAATAAACAGTTAGACACGTGACTCTTTTTATCGTTCCTTGCGATATAATATACGAGCAAGATTGAAGACGCAGGGTGTCGACAGTATGGTAGGTAGTCCCCTCTGTAAATGTGATCCTATAGTGTAAAAAAGTCTGTGAGCTTAACGCTTTGATCTAAATTCCACAAGTGGGAATCCCTGAGGAATGCTGACTTAAACTATGTATTCATGAGCGATTAACCGGGGAGCATTTTACATGACGATGAATGTGATTTAAGAATGAAGTATTTTCCTTCTCAATTATCCGTTCAAGTAATTTAATGCCCGCCCCGTGCGTTCTAGCTGGATGGTATGGTAACTGCACCAGCCGATAGAGAAGTGTAGGTCGATAGCTTGGCCGCTATAATGCTGCATCAGGCACTGGGAATTATATGAAGGAGAAATACCAGCTTTTTAGTATGTTAAAGATGAGTGGGTTGGGAAGAGCAAGATGATTGATCGAATGTATTGAATCTATGATCAATCTTATTAAGTGTCTCTACCAAAGTGGGATTCAGGTTTAGCTGCTTATATATTTACCTTATACTTCGGTTGCGTAGACACATTACGGCTATTAACTATATGACTGTAGTACAGACTTGTCGATGTGTTTAACATGTGAAGAATCTTATCTAATAGCTCAGTTGCCTAGAACGGTACTGATAACGCCCACGGTCGTAAATTTGACCCCTGCTGCAAACCACGGTTTTTGGTTGTTGTTTTTTTCATGTAACAAGTAAGACAGGTTATGCAGAGAAAACGGTTTGATAGATCGGCAGATTTAAGTGTGAGAGCGTGCATTTAGAGAATAATGCAAAAACGTGCATTTAGGGAGAGTATATTAAAATCCACGTGATCCTGATAAATATTATACTTTATTTCGTTGCATTCTCTTATTGGGTAAAATATTGGGTTAGGGTCGTACTATCTAATAAATATTTGTGTTCACTTGCATTCTCTTGTTGAATTGAAAATGCTTGTACAATTTCTAAGCTTTGCAACGCTGTACTAACACTGATAGCTTGTTGTCCATCAAGCTCCGGCTGTTCTTGTATTATTCTGAATTCCGTGAGTTGCCGAGGGTGATGGAGCTAACGAGGGCAGGTGCGTGTTTGAGATATCGAAGGTAATTGATCTATCCCAGATACCAAGAGAGAATACGTGAGAGTCGTCGGTAGTAATAGTGATGGAGGTGTTGTTCGAGTGATGCTATCTTGTTATTGGCAATTGTAAGATCTGCTTTTGCTTGATCAAGACACTTCTCTGTGGCGCGCGTTCAAACAAGACAGATTGCAAATTATTGACAATCCTTGGTTTTACTATGTAACAGATTTTCGGCGTCGGTCAGCCGCTTAACAGTGGCCTTGTGTGTAATGGCACTCAAGATCTCGCGTATACTGCTCGGTTTGAATCACCATTTGTTTCTTCAAGTGTTCAATCTCATATTGAAGCATAAGCATGGACTTTTTGATCCAACTTGTCACGCTCTGCAGTTACGTCACGAAATGTTGCTTAGTTGTCACGTAAGCAATCCTGTAAGTTGAAGTGCTTGAGAAGGAGCTGCTGAGGATAAAGGCATTTCAATAGGCTGCAGTTCTTGTGACGTAATGCCTTGTGGCGATTGCGAGCGAAGGGTGGGTGCGTAGTTCTGCTTTAAGCCGTCACATTGTGCCCGAAGCGCGATATTTTCGTTAATTGCATTTTGAACAGATTGGGAGGTTTTCGTTCTCTGATTTCAACTACAGATTTTTCTCAAAGCTTCCGTATGCATTGTTGAAGACGTGTGCCTGACTCTGTATTTGTTGCAATAAAGGTAAGTAGTCTCTGAAGCAAGCCTATGGTTTCGATCTTCAAGTTGAAGGCTTTGGTCATATATCGACAATTAACCCATTTTCAAAATATGAGCATCAAAATTACAGTTTGCATTAAAGATGACAAAAACTATCAGCAATCAGTCTGCAGTTCATTTTAATGATCGAATCCGTCACACGCTGCTTTTAATTAATTTACATCAAACAGAGAGAAGAATCAAAGGAGAATAAATAAATCAATCGTTTTTTGAATGAAACATTTTTTTGATCTGGCCCTCGGCATCAGCCTATCACCTGAGACGAAACCGAAGAAGGCCCCATGAGATGCTTCACCGAATAATAGTATTTATTGATCACGTAACTCCCTTCCCATTATTCAAGAATGACTATACGGTTGGGACGACCCCAAATATACATTTAAGCATGATTTCCACAGCTGATTGTGAAAATTTGATGGAATCTGGTCTATTAAATTTTTCTCATCCAGCAAACGCCCTATCCGTATAACATACATATTAATATCGATCCACATAGAGAATTCAACAACAATTTAACCTTTAGCATTACTTAAACTTACACTGCTTTGGCATCCTTGGATACAATTGTACCTCAGGAAATATCTCCCCTTTGTCCGATACTTTGTTCTTCCAGAGAAATATTACATCGGGATGTTTGGGACTATGCACTTATACAGACATCATATCACAAATGTTGTTTGTTAACTTTCGACAATAACGATAATAAATGGCGCATTCTAATCTGTAAACTCAAATTTGTTAATTAGAACATCCAATGAATTCTTAGTTGTCAAGTAAATATTATATTACATTATCATCGGTCACGTCACTGGGCTTTCATATTCACTGAGTAAAAGCTTGGAATAGGATGTCCTACACTCTTCTTCTGTTTTTAGCTTTATATATGATCTTAGATTATTCGTAACAAATGTTCTCTATAGAGGATACGTGATGTCATTTATTGGGCTATCGTTCCTTTCTTCTCTCGTCGATTTCAGTTTGCAATTCAGCTTTTATTTGAGCTAATACGCGTGACCTTTTCTCTTGGTCTTGGTTGTCTGGAGGACATTTTTCTATATCGAAGAACACGTAATAGTAACGCGCAAGCACAAACAAAAAGAGACTAAATAGGCTGATTACATCTTATCACGTGATTATGAATTAGGTTAAGGATTTATTTCAGGGTATCAATTACATAAAACTCGGCAGAACCAGACAGTGTTCTGAAATGCATAACATCAACAAGCAATTACACATGGTAGGTAGAGCAACAATGTATCGTACATTATTTCCTATTGTTACTTATCAGAATATATTTCTCTTTCAGATGCCAATTAGCATTTTATCCGTACTTTTATGTTAGAAATTGCACGCGTCGCAAATGAATTCGGAGAGCCATACGATCCGCTACTCCTGATTTTGTTAGAGAATTGGAACGAGATCACGATGTGAAGGTGTTCAACCTCCGTAAGCAGACTTATCCAACTTTTTGTGTCTGTAAAAAAACTGTTTGTGTGATGGGTAAGTGCTCGATGAACAAAAAAGTTGTATTTTTACTTAAATGCTACCACTAATACTAAGCAACACAACTGGTCACCACCATTCAGGTTGATTGTATAAATGGGAGGAATACTTTACTCGGTTATCGACCTTGTAATCGAAAGCGTCAGTTACAAGGTGGTAAGGGACGTGAAGGTATGGAAGATTAGATTGGTGCTGTATAAAACGAGCATATTAATGTGCGCTTAGAAAGCACGGATCAGGCAAGACTGTGTACTTAATTTGCTTACGTTGTTAAAGGAATGACTGAAGCGCCATGGACATAATTCGGGTTTATCTTCTCATCCACTGCATGATCTGAGAAGATGGTGGGAATCGAAAAGAGGGATTTAGCCTGAATTGGAACGAGAAGATAACTGTGGGATAGGGAATGAGCTGCGTAAGCCCAAGGCCAATTCCGGCCATATTAGAACTAAGACACAGAAAACTTCACATAATGGCTTTCCCCTATTATGTGTATGAAGAAATCGCATTGAAAACGCGGGGTAATGTCTATTTCAATTTCGGAGAATATCACCGTTTCTGTTCCATAACGATACTCCTATTCCAACGTTCATTATCATTAATACCTGTTATGAGAAACAAAAACACGACAATGTCGATAGTCCTATTAGCAAACTGAACAGTCCCCCCAGCGGCAGCAGAAACAGAATTTATTCGTGAAATCAATTTCTATGAGTAATCCGATCAAAGAAAGTGATTTTGCGAGAGTATTGGTTCTTTGAAAGGAGCAAAAAAAGTTGTATCCCCGTTGCGAACACGACCGATTCTCTTCCATACATATTTTTTTCCCAGAATTCCTTATTCATTCATGCTATATCTTGTTGTAGAAATCGGAGATAGACATATAGTGGTTTATTTCTAATAGGACGCACTTCTACTGTTATATCTCCCCCTTTCATAAAGTTGATCTGCGTGAGAATGTAATTGACATTTCTGCACGCGCGTCGATACGTCACTCAGTTCGTATCAAGTCTCCACGTTCATTCTTATCATCTAAGTATATCATATTGAAAAAATTTGGATCTGAATCAGAACTTGTCGCAATAATAAATTTCGCATGGTTTTACCATAGAACACGTGACCTTCAGAACATGATCGATGGAAGGAGACAAATCAAAGAGATACTTGCCTTCACCTATTTCCAGTTTCTGTATCTCACCGGCCCCGCTACGGGAATATCACATATCCTCGTACGCGTTATAAAGATAGCAGATGATGGAATTTCAACTATCGTGATATTTGACCCAGATTGGGTCAAGCGGTAATGGTCGATATAGTTCGTATTTTGCTCTTGAAATAGACATTGATGAGACGTATTGCTATGCAGATTGTGTAAGTATATAGGGTTGAGGCAGGATTGGTTGGTTTAGTCACATTTGTGATTATTACTGTCTGATTACCATGTTCTATGAGTTCTGGCGTCCAAGGGCTCAATTCTGATCTAGCACCTTGACAAATGCTTTGGGTTAGTGACGTATCATGAGCTCTAATGCTTGGATGGAACGTTTTGCATTTCAAACATCCACATTATGAGGCCAAATGCATAAATATCTGCTTTCTGAAGAACAATATTGAAGAATTGTGTTTGAATAATGCAGATGGGCGTGACAATGCACACAAAAAGAAGTCATAACAAATACCTGCGCGTATGGTTTACCGTCAAGAACCTCGGGTGCAACATACGACATCGCTCCAATTACTTCTTTACGCCTCTTGGCTTCATCTTCGTGAATTGAAAACCAAAAAGTCCATGAGATCTGCATTATTTTCTCTGCTCTCAATAAGGACATTCCCTCCATGGATATTCCGTAGATCATTCCGGTCTCATGGAACACTTCCAAGATTCTGGCTAGCTTTAAAAAGATATCTGTAGCTTGCGACTCCACGAGACGTCAGGATTTTTGTACAAGAAGGTAGTCAAATCCTCGAAGATCGGCATAAATCATAACCAGGATATGTTTGCCTGTAGCCTTCAAGCGTGATACACCCACGATACACATCTTTTACACCACTGCCGCGCATACGCTCAACTGTCATAAGAGAAAGAAGAAATTGAGAATTTTTCGAATAATAACGAAAACCTGCATTTTAAGGCATACCTCTTGCAAAAAAAAGGTCTTCACGGCCATTTCTATAAAAAAGAATTTTGACTGCAACCTTCCGAGGCTCTCTTCGCACAACACGTCTACCGTCATCCCCAAAATCTACTCCCACACATTTCCCATATATACAATCCGCAGCATAGATATTCCCTTTCCAATCTTTCGAGACGATCGAGTTGAATCCATCGAAGACAAAGTTCGTTCGTCTTCTCTTATGTATTCCGTATGACTGGCGTTACCAGTCGGCCAACCTTCCATTAATTCCTTTCGATCACATTCATCGCACCAAAAGTCTTTGTTCGGAAAAATCTTCCCGCAGGTAGAACAAAAGCCATGTGATACCAATGCATATACGCCATTGGCTTCAATACGCGATATTCCAATTCTCTGTTGTAGCTGAAGCCGCTTTTGCAAAGTAACGATGCTCCTTCCTGCAGCTATATTTCGCCAAACATAAAGAAAAGATACAGAAGCAAAAGAACAACTTATTATCAAGCATAGCATCAATCAATCATAATATCGTCGAGATTTAACCAATTACCTCACATTTAAAATTTTCTTCTAATTGATCGCTCACAAGGGAAAAACCTTGAGAAAAACCTTCATAAATTCCCAGATCTCTCGCTTTTTACCAGACTCGTCGTTATCGACTCCCTTGAAAGATCCGTCAAGCCAATCTGCATAATATAACATCCCGAACTCCCCGCAGACAACTTGGACCAGATTCTGAATGCAATCCATTTGAGGCAAGGACACTATTACTATCAACGTCCTTTTGCGTTTTCCCGTGTCCACTTGTCCATCCTTCCATCAATTCATTTCTCTTACATTGTCGACACTAAAAAACCAGCCAGTCGTCACAAACACCTCCTGACACTATTCCAACTTACTGGTCTCTTTCTGTCTTGTAACTCCAAAAACGCGAAAGATAGTATGGTATCCCAACCTTCAACTAAAAAAGGATGACCTCAAAACCTCAACTAAAAAAGGACATAATTTAATTCATCAGTATGGAACATAAATTTTCGCCGTATCTCAGTATTCTCTCTTACCTCCTCAACGCAATCAGTTTCATTTTCGACGATTTTAACCGTTACTTTCCGTGGTTTCCACTGATGAACGATTCGTTGATCTTCATCGAATTCCCAGGAGTCATATTCCCAGTCCAACCGTTCCCCAGTATATAGAGTACCAAATGTACGTGTCCCAATTTCCGCAAGACAATCCATTTGAAACATGTGACTGGAAACTCATCTACATCTTTTTGTGTCTCTCAGATGATAGTGTCGATTTCTTCATCCAACCGAACATTAACCGTTTTGGATCTCATTCTTGGCACTACACCTCTTTAGCATCGAACCGAAGAAAATGCGACCACAACCCAAACACGCGCCAGAAACTACTAGTGCATACTCTCCACTGGAATCCGACCTGGAGACTCCAGTTTTGGTTGTTAGTTGGTATTGACTTTTGAAGACCCCATTTGCTCGCTTCGATTGCCTCTGTAACGCGTTCCTTCAGCTAATTGAAAGGTTATTATACGAGTCGAACTATAATCCACAACACCAAATATCAAATCAAGTACCTCTTTTTTCAAAAAGTTTCTGTCATCGTTGACTTCACCTTTTAATCGCTGGTAGAGATTAGGATTTATTCTAATACTTACTACTTGTTTCGGAATTTGGGAAATACTTTCTTTACTTACCTTTATATATCATGATTACGGTAATCTAAAATTTTTTTGGGGAAAGGTTTGACGATTACACGGCAGGTGACCCGATATATTCGCTGTCCGCGTCATCAGTAGTAAATTTACATTGCCGTCAACAAAATCAGCTGCGAAAATACTGCCAATGGATCCTTTTGAGATTTCAACCATGTTTTGAAACCGCCGATTCCAGGGAGACAATGATATCCGTGCCAGTCTTTATTATATCCAATTCTCCCGTGTCTCGCGTATGAATATATCATTTCTGAATTTCCACTTGTCCATCCATCGGTCACTTGCTTCCAGCCACAGTCGTTGCACCAGCATCGTCATCTGGGTAGGAGACACCGCAAGAATGACAAGCGCGACGACTCGCGACGAATTTGAGTCGGAATATTAGAAGTTCGGCCAATTCTCCTGTCAAATCAAGTCTTGATAGGCCAAAAACTCTTGCCGTTGTATCTTCCATTTGCAAGAGCTCTTTAGTCTCAGGATCCTATTTTTTTTTGAAGCGTCAACTCTATTCCAGAAAAAAATTCCGCGTCATTCAGCTGCGATTCAGAAGTAACGTAAGTAAAATGGAAAAGAGAAAAGAGGAAAGAAGAAAGAATTGTAGCTATATACATACTTGCAACAACAAATTGTCTATAATCACAATTAGTTTTGCCGCAAAAGTGACAGTTAAATTCTGCGCTACTTCATTTTGAAGGGAGACTACCAACGCGTCTTAAATTCTGTTATACAAGCCTCAGTCGTAGAGGATTCTGTTAGTGGTCATATTCATGAACAGAATCATTACGCTATAGTGATTAACTGCGTCATCTGATGTTATATCTTAGAGCGCAGAGTACAGTTCTAGGGTCCATATCATTCTGTCGTTCTGCAGAATTCCTCTTTATTAAATGAGGGAAAAGCATGTCGATCATTTGTGAAACAAGATTCTCAAAGCTATGACGTCAGGAATTGATACAGTTCCTGGGATAGCTCAGTAGCGGGAGATTTCTTATATTATAATGAAGTATATGAAGATGAAGTAAAGCAGGACGTGGATGCTCGAACGCATGTAGAGATGGAGATATGAGAATGACTGCGGCAACAATGTTTATGAGTTTACCCGTGAAATTAGGATTCAGCTTTCATGGTAAATCTGCCTATTGTTTTTCAGGGATAAGGAAGGAACTCGGAACACGAGAATTGCAAATTGAATTAAAGCTAATTCTTGGCTGCTTATGTGATTGCGTATCGCGACGAATAAACTTTGTTTCCTTGAACCCAAGACTCCAAACGAAAGGTCACTACTAGCTTAACTGACAGTTGCGCATTTATCATTATTCGATTGCGCTTTACTAAAAGTTGTTTTCACATAGAATCAAAGTCGGCAATAAAAAAAAGCAAGGTCATTGTAGGGGTAGTTTGCATTCTTTATTAAGAATTTAATTCACAAAATGTGATCGATTAGAAATTCAGTTATTTTTTATTTTTTATATCAACGCATTTTAATAATTCGTAAAGAGATACTATACTGGTAGTGTCCTAATATTAATATTGAAGATTACTCAGATTGAGGATTCTAGATTCCGTTCCAAATTCTAGATATTCCACCCTCAATAGCTGGTTTCTCCGCCTGGGAAGTTAACATTCACTATTCTTTCTAATTGTGAACTTTGCTCTCATTACGTCTTGCTGATGGTTGTTGATACGACGTAGTCGCAATTGATCTAGTAAATCATACTATTATGCGAGGTGGGGTCTCCACCCGAACAGTCATATTAATATTACTAATCATGTTAGATATAGACTTGTCATTGATGTATTAACGAGAGAGGAGGTAGTCTTGCGAATACCTACACAGGTAGTCGTCAACCGTGTCTAAGTATACGTCTGCATCATATGCACGTTCGTAACATCCACGAATAAACATTGATCGAATTTAACGTCTGCTTTTGGATTAGAGTCACGTGGAAGTCGTATAGACCTGTATACAGGCTTCAAGATATGATTAACCGTTCACAAGAATACGATGAACCCGATTGAAGATTGAAACACCGTTGTCTCTACTAGCAGATGGAAGTTTTCCATTTTTCGCATCATGACACAGTAGGATGGTACGACTCTTTCGACTGTCACCTCCTCGAAGTTTCGCAATTCAAGCTTCAAGAGAAAAAGATGATCTGTTTCCACTGATAGAATCTATCTAAGAGCTGTCTCCTTCTTTTGCCGAGCAAGTAGTTGCATGAATTCGTTGCAATCTTGTAAGAAACCATAGTATTACATTCCAGCATATAAAGTACAGCATTGATCTGTCCACCGTTATGTGTCTGGAAAACATGGATTGCCTTGATACAAGATTGTGACTAGCGGCTTTTAACAACATGTCTTTCAGCCTTCAGACGGGTCAAGAATGAATGTAACCCGTACCATCTGCCAACCTGTCGCGTTTGGATATGAAGGCATCGTCAGCTGTTGCATCTCTTCGTCGCCGGGCTTTCCAACCCGGAGGGCCGTCATTCTCGGCCAACACTTCATCAAATTCCATGTAAATTGATTGCTTGTATCAGGGTTCTTTCTTGCTGTCGGATCGCCACACGTGGGAGAGCGTTCGTGTAACGACCTTGGGATTTAGTCGTCTTCCGGCGGAACTCTTAG